TGTTGGTTCTGGGAGTTCCAGCACGCCCGCCGCGTCCTGCTGGTCTCTGGACGTGCATGGCTGGGTGAGACAGGCGGCTGGTTAGAGCACTCTCACTGCCTATTACTGTTGAACAGGCACACCTGACCTTCCATAAATTTGCCGCCCACTTTCATTTACAATGCTAAACAAGTACTGTCTGTCTGTCTGTCAGTCCTTCTACCTCATCTCCCTTTCTGTCTCTCCCTTTCTCACTGACCACACTTCTCTATCTCCGTCCCTCTCATTTTTTATTAAAGGTAAAGTGATTCTTTCATAACACATGTCCAAAGTTGGCTCCCCTTCTCTGTTTGATATTGCTGTGCTGTCTGATCTTAGGGGACTGGAGCAATATGAAAATGAGATAAGGATATATTGACCGCTGACTTTCATTGGAAGACACAAAGCTACTCTATATTAGATCCTGAATATTGTGAGAGCTGCAGGATAACCTTTATAGGAAAAATGTCATTTTAATGTGAGGCAATATCCCCAAACAAAAACCTTAAAGGTCTATTATTGAACTGTCTTCAGCCAAAGGTACAAAAGCTACTCCACCTTTTGTCATAGTATGCTTGAGAAAAATCAAAGAGATTGCTATGTTGAGGAAAAAATAGACACATCCTGGTCACTACAACATATTGTAGATTCAGCAGGTACTTAAAGGGTCAGTTAAGCCAAATTAGCCACGCAGATAATTTTGGTTTTATTTGTCCTTCATTTGTTTGTGATGCTTGGAGCACTGAAAATGACATTTTAAAAAAATTATGAAGAAACGATTAAAACTGTTAAATTCTCTTCCAGAATTAGTGTGTCCATTACTAATCATAATTCACATTTTCATATTATTTTTTTGCAGGAAGTAGCTCAAATGAAAACTCTACCGTAACAATTTAATACACTTTCACCGTGCTGGGGAGGAAGCAGAAATCTAAGAGGAGATCTCAAAACGTGAACAACCACCAGAACTATCTGCAGAGCTAGTCTCTACTGGATCAGCGGCTCCCAACCTGGAAGGGTTAATATGAAGGGTCACTAGATGATTAAAGAGACAAGAAAAACTGTTTTCTCGCCGCTACATTAACCCCTCATTTTAAAGGTGTCATAAACCAAAAAGGTTATTGTTTTTTGTTTTTGTTTGTGTTAACTAATTCTTTAAATTACAATCGCTGAAATAGTTTACCTGCATTTACCAATTAACAAATATTTTTTTGAGGTTGTGGAGAAGATAACAGCTTGCAATGAGAAGGGATGGAAATGTGACTGTGAAAGTGTTGCAAGCCCAGACAAGAATACAGCTATGTTGCAATCCTCTGGTGATTAGCAGGTTGCCTGGGCACCGTGATGTTGTACGTGGTTTGGGAACAGTCAGACACACAGAGATGGACAAAGAAACACAGCAATAACCAAGGAATAACACATGTGCCCCACAAAAATACAATAATAAAACCCCCTAGGGTGTCTCTATACAAGAGGAGAACGGCTCCCACTTGTCCTCTGTTCAAACACTGTACCCCAGCAGTTCTCTGATGCACACAACCGTCCCGCATAATCCCTCTCTCACCAGGACACCCTCCTGACCTTTCCCCACACTGTTGTCTGACCACCTGTATGAATGTGAGTGTGTGTGCTCTTTCCTGTGTGCCCATGAATTGACATGTTGGCACAGTGCCCCACTGCACCGGTGAATCTGGGTCAGAGCGAGTGCTCATACATGCATACACACATACACACACGCACGCACGCACGCACGCACGCACGCACGCACGCACACACACACACACACACACACACAGACAGACAGACAGACAGACAGACAGACAGACAGACAGACAGACAGACAGACAGACAGACAGACAGACAGACAGACAGACAGACAGACAGACAGACAGACAGACAGACAGACAGACAGACAGACAGACAGACAGACAGACAGACAGACAGACAGACAGACAGACAGACAGACAGACAGACAGACAGACAGACAGACTCTGGCGACCTTCATTCGAGCTCTTTCCAGAAGACTTGCTGTGCATCGGGCACATCAGAGAACTGTTGTAGCATCCAGTGTTCGACTTTAGATCAAATAAGAACAATGTCATGTTGCATTAAGCCCATCTGAAAACATCTGATGCATAAAATTGTTTTTTCTTTGTCGCTCAGAGGGGTAAAATGGGTATTGCTCCCTGTCACTATATTTGCTGCTTGTATTTGATATAAGCAGATACAGAAAAATGATGCAGTATGCTTAACCTGAATAGTTTCTGCCCCAACAGCAAATGTATTAAAATACATAATTAGATGGAAGGAGGACTTGGGAAAACAACGATGCTGGTTAAATCGTCCTTAAGGACACTGAGTGCCAGGGGAGCTCAAGGACAGCACAGTTAATGGGGCATCAGACATATGACAGGGAAGAAAGGAAATGGTGTGTATGTTAAATAAAAGGACGGCTGACAGGCGAGGAACACTTGACGTCTGTTGGAAAATTTCCATTAGTGATATAAACATGAATAGCTAATGTAATATCCATGGAATAATACAGTCTTAACCATAAGTGGTGGGCAAGTGATGACCACAGTCAGTTGCTTTAATGGCATCACTTTGATCACTGATATTGTTTGTTTTTCAGTTTGTTTGTTCACTGACGTTTGGTTTCTGAAATTAATTCTGAAATACAGTCCAGAAAAATATTGCTGAAGAGACAATTTGTAAGTCTGGGAATCATTTTAACATCATCTAACAGTCCAAAAAATGTTTGATAAATTCTTAATAGCTGCTTCCATATTGATCATGCTTTATGACGTGTGATTTTTTTTTGTGAAGTTCTTTCTTCTTCAGCTGTTGTCACTCTGCTTGTTAGTCCTGCTGCAGCTGCCAACCTGCATCCGAGGCCACAGTGGGATGTCAGCACTCACTCGTCAAGTGAGAGAGTCTATGTGACACTTCTGCCCCACTTCCCTGGGACTTGACCTAGCACCACTTCTGTGTGTATGTGTGTGTGTGTGTGTGTGTGTGTAGAAAGACATATGCATGTGAGAGTAGCCCCCGGTGGACCAGCTGCATGGCTGTTACCTTCTTTGCTCTTCAGACAGTGACGTTTGTACCCTGTGTTTGTGTGAGTCAGAGCAAACTGTTAACTACTCGTGTGTACATCCCATTTATGCACTGGGTGTACAAGTGTGTCAGTGAGCGTATGCACTTTTGTGTGAGTGCCAAAAGTCCTTAGTCAGTAAAATCAGGAAAATCTTTCAAAGATGGAGCATTTTTGTAAGGTTCAACCCTCCCATAACAGTTTTTAGGGAAGGGTCTATATATCTACAGTTGCATCTAGCAGGTTAGGCATTAAAATTAGTTTGAATGTTAAAGTTATGTTTAAATTATGGGATTATTTGGAAAGGTGGTACTTTAAAAGGACCATACAAATGTTTGTATATCCTATTAACATATACGTAACAGTAGTAGAAACCATTTTCCAATCCATAGCTTTAAAGAATGATTTCCAACCTTATAGGCATCCACTGGTTTCACTTTACAGTTGCAGCTCATGACACTATGTAATGAAAATCAATCTAAAGAGACTTATTTTGTCAAATGACATTTTAGTTTCATGTCCTAACGCTCTCAGGTACACCAACACCTACTTACGCATCAAAGCAACAACATTTAAACCAAATTGATTATTTAGGACTATTTACACTGTCCAGGTTTAGGTCCATGTGTGTCCAGGTTTGATATTCTTGACAACATATCCACATGCATGTTAGCACCAACAAGAAACAGTTTTCAAAACAGCTGCTCCTGGAAACAGCACTGTCAGGCAATAATAAACTGTAACAAAAACTAAAGGTGACTAAATACTTAGTGTGATGGATTACTTTGAGCAAGCACATTTAAGGACTCCGCAAGCTCATTATCACATTGCTTTGGAGATATGTAAATCTGTCTAAAATTAAATCACTGTAAAAAGCTGTGGTGTATACTCACATGCATGTCAGATCTTCTCTTGGTCAGTAGGTGTCTGACAGGATCCAGCTGACCACCGCTCCCAGCTGTGAATTCTCTGTGATGGCTCCTCTGAATAATTGTGTGGAGAACGGTGCGTATGTGTGTTGCAGGGGTGCGTCATGAGCAATGAGCACAACATTGGGGAGCTGCAACCTCAGCACAGCTCAGCAACAGAGAGGATCCATCATCTAGGACAGCCCTGGAACAGTGGAGCTGCTGGTCCACATGTACAGACAGACAGACAGTACACATGCAAGCACACACAACAAGCAGGCTTGTTTTATATGCCACCCCCTACCTTCTCAGCCAAGGCTGCTGCAATCAATCCTTCTGTACAAGAGCAGGCCAGTCCAAATTCACATGACACTGCATGATGCTCTGCATCCCACCATCTGTACTGAGCTGTCTGACTGCTGCCACAGATGGTGAACAGCTACTGTGGTGTGATCACACCCTTTCATCTGCACCCTCTACCCAAAAGCATCTCAGACACATTAAAAGTAAAGTACATGTCCTGAATGAAGGTCTAGCCCTGTGTCTGATAAATTTAATTTGCTCTTTGATGAACACAGCCTTGGGGACATTGAAGGTTCTGTAAACTATCGTCACTGCCAGTAAATGTCGCACTAAACCCTCAGTATCCTAAACCAAAACAAATGCTTTGTTGGCCACAACCCCCCCACCCCCCACCCCCTTCACAGTCTCACTCAGCAAGGTGTTACAAAGCGAAGTGGAAGCAGCCACTAAACACACAAGAAGCACAACTGAATAAAGTTCGCCTTTGCACAGGAGAGCCACCAAAAAACACTCCAGCTACAACCAATAGCCCACGCTAGCATTGCAACATTTGCCAAACACATTTTTAAATTGGTAACAGGAAGTTAGCAAAAGGATAGCTAAAACAGACTTGTTACATCATGTACCAATGGAGTTATTTTCACATTTACACAAAAATAAGTGTATTGATTGCAATTCAGAGATTTTAATTAAGTTGGTGACATCTTACAGTGGAAATGGGCCAAATCCAGAGAAGGAAAACTGTATGATTTCCTTTGGCTTGACAAGAGAAGGACTCAAGGGCTCAATGTCACGCAGCTTTGTGTGTAAACTACATTCTTTGACAAATCAAAAGGTCCATAATGTTCCAACACAAAATAAAAAAAATCTTGTAATGACATCTTGTTGTCTGTTACAAATGTTGTCGTTGTTCACATTCCGAGTAAATATGTTGCACTGAAATACATGGATATTTGCCCACATGGCTAGCAGAAGACATGCAAACTGTTTCAAACACTACCCAGCATCATCATCCTGGACATGTGATGATTAATGTGACACGTTTGAGAGATTACTGGCAAGATTTGGTGCAGTCGGTGCAACCCCTATTGTTGTCCCCATGTCCAAGAGAGGAGGTCTGGGTTGCTGATTGTAGGCCTTATGGCTCTGGTGTGCAGTGCAACGACACAGCACATTGAACACATGTAGCAGTGACTTATGACCATTCACAACACAGAAGGTCAAAGGAACAGAAAACAGTGAAAATAACCACATATTATTGATGTTATTTGTGTCTTTTCTACTACTACTGCATTTAAGACTGATGTCGTTTCACTCGCTGTGCTATGGTTGTGTCTTTATCCAAAATGTGTGCAGCACTCTGGTCAACTCCGGTTGTTTTAAACGTGCCATATCAGTAAACTTGATTTGATTTGATTATCGATGCTGATGAGCCCTAAACTTGAAAAGTACAACGAGATAACATTAAATCTAATGAGTCCATTTTGGTCTTGGTAACATCAGGAAAATCTGATCTTTTTGTTACTGTGCATCCCCTCGACCAGGACAGCCATATAAATGAACATGTTCAGGCTCAGTGATTTGGTGTGTACCTGACTGCAATCAGGTTTACCTTACATGGGCAGTTAAACTTCATTCAAAGTGCTCTGGAATTTTACTATAAAAATTCACTCAAAAGTAGCCTTTTCCCCAAAGGAAATATTATAGCAAACGGAAATCACACTCTGGGACTTAATTTAAAAAAATAATTAAGAATTGCCCTAGAAGGAATCCCATGATATCCTCCAGATCTGAAGCAAGCTTAACCATTTGCGGGGTAGAGGCAAAAATATTTTGATAGGAATTTATTTTCAAAAATATCTGCCGGTGTGAAAAACAGGGGTCATCTTTACTTTTCATAATAAATATAGACTTTATCACAGTTAAACAATTATATTGGACAATTATCATACAAAAAGGATCGAGGAGAGCACTGATTGGCTGCAGCACCACCAACCACCACCACCACCAAGATGACAACACCTCAGAGAGGAAGAGAGAGTACAAGGTACAGATTAAACAGCGGAAGGTGGTATAGATGTTTGAGATTTTCAAGACCAAACTGCAGTTGAGGGGCTCAGGTAGAAATTTACTCCCTTCATTTTCACAATTTCTTCTCTCATACTTATAATAAAAGAGCTCAACCTAAGTTAAATAACTTAATTTATCCAACAACAGCTGTCCTGCACCATACAGATTCAATAAATGGACTGCCATGAAGGCATTGCAGAAAGTAAAGTACAGTTGATGACAGTTGTTGATAGACTACCGCCCCCTAGTGTGAGCCAGAGGAATAGTGTCAAGCATTCGAAGAAAACTGAACCCAAAGCCAGGGCAGTAAAAAAAAAAAGAGACAGTGAAGAACCAAGTGTTAAGCAGCACTTCCCCACAATGTTTCTGTTGTGAAGTGAGCCCTTGCCCCACTTGTCTGTCCCTCATCTCCACATGCCTTCCTCTCCCCCAGCCCTTCCCTTTCTTCCCATCCAGCTCCAGGGCATGTTCAGGTACAGTATGTTCTCTCCCTAGGTGAGTGTGTTTTGTGCTCATCAAAGAGTCTTAGAGGATCTGTTCAGTGCTAGATGCAGAGATGTCAAGTAGTCTCCAGGCAGCATATGGGTTGAGCTCCTCCTGGTCTCGACACAGAGCCCACACATACATCATCCTGAGCACTTTTTCCTGGAGAAAGAAAAACGGATGGGTGCATTTATTTTTAAGTGTTCAGTTTGTTTTAATCATTGTAAAACAACTACCAATTTTATATTATTAAAAGGTTTTTTAGACAAACCAAATATAAACATTTATTTTCGAGTTAGCCCAGTCAATACCCAGATGTCCCATATGTATGTAAAACCAATAAAGTTTGAAAGAAGAAAAAGATTTTAAAGTCTGTGACAAAACAAATGACAAAGGAAGGGAAGCTGGGTATGAAGTCCATAAGAGCAGAGTGTATTATCTAATGCCCAGGCTTCAGGATTCAGCTTACAAAACTCAGAAGACCAGTGTATCCACTATTAATCCTCTGGCAGGAGTATATTAATCTGAACACTGGGCAGGAGCCAACTGTATGGTACAGAGTGGACACCTTTTTACCAATCACAGGTGACCCTGAGGAGCACTGAGTGGACAACATGGCTGCTTTACAGCCTATAAAGCTGTAGTCTGTAAATAAATAAAATGAATGCCCAAACAGTAAAAGGTGGCTCCATTGTCTCATAGCATTCTCCTGGTGCTTCATTTGTAAGAACACATTTGTGATCATGACCAAATGCCACCTATGGCTTTGTATTCTTCTATAGCATTACACAGCAAAATGCCAAATAATTTGCATTTGCTGCATTTTAAGATGTTGTTTTTAGTTATCATATGGCAGATCTAAAAAAAATCAAAGACTGTTTTCTTAGTGGTATTTGTATTTTTGTTCAAATATGTGTTACTTACAGGGTCTCCCTCTACAACTTCTCCTTTGGTGTTTCGGATCACCATGACTAACTGAGCCTGGAAGGTGATAATCAATACTGGACCCTGGTCCATCATCTTCCCCATGGCCAACTAGAGAAGAAGATACACATGTAATTTACTGAACCAACAAACACGATTTTTACATTCATTCAAATATAAAAAAGGTTTATAGTGGAGTCATGAATATTCAAAAAAAAAAGAAAGAAATTGATGCAAAGATTTACATACAGCCTGAGAATAGTATCAGCCAAACATAAAATACAGAAAGTTAAAAAGTAACGAAGAAACTTGCTTGTAACTTTTCAAGATGTTTGACAACACTGACATTTGCCTGATTTGGTTGTCGGCCTATACTTTGATTCTGCATATGTGCAAATTTAAAAAAAACCTTGGAGTGCTGATACTTGCAACTTTATTATAAATCTTTTGTAGTGTAGTCTGGTGTTACTTACATCAATATTGTCAATGTCCAGGATCTTAGAGTGGAACTGAAGTCCCATGGCCTTAGCTTGCTGAATTGGGTGTGCCAGCTGACTGTATGTCTACACACCCAGTAAAGGTGAAAAAGAAGATTAGATAAAATTATGACTACACATTTAATGAAGACCTAATCAACTTCAGCCAACATGTGCATGACTGTTAATCAGGGTACTACATTGCTATGTGGGCACTTTGCCAACTGCCTGCACACGTAAATACTGAAAGAAGCATTTGGCATCTGTGTTTCAACACTTAAAGCTCAGAGTCAGTGTGTGAAAGGTCGTACCGCTTCATAACACCAGTCCTTCAGTACCTCCAGCTCCCCTCTGATCATCGCCTGCATGGAGACACAACAAACCCAGCCTTGAAAAAATAAGATGAAAACTTCCGAAATACATTTGGAAGGATCAAGAACTAATCACTTACAGAACTGTAGGTCAACCTGCTTTACATGTGTAGTTAATTTGGATAAACACGTAAAAGTATGTAACTGCATCCACTGAAATTCAGTGTTGACCAAAATAAAACCTTTCTTGATACAGCCTCTGGCTTGAGTCTTAAGAGGCTGGTATCAGCATTGTTTACAGTCCAACATACCTCCAGTATGTTAGGGATGATGTCTCGTTCACACTGCTTGAGGAAGGAATCTTTGTCGAAGGAAGGATCCGCCTTCAAAATCTCTGTCAGCACCTCAGACATCTCCGTCTTAGAAAACAGTCCGCCTAAACGCACATGCCCATGTGGAAAGAGACACATAGTTTAAAGGTAAGATTTTTTACACTTTCTTGTAGCTATTACCTGTATTTTTTTAAAGCAAACATTTTGTGATCAGCTGACTCAAATGACTTCAACTGTCAATATTTTCTTCCTCCCTTAAATAAACCTACCTTTATGAAAAACAAACAAACAAACTACTACCCAGAAATATCTATAAACTGCGAAATATAAATGACATAAAACCTTTAATAAAGACATGAAACATAAATACCTTGCATTAGACGTCTCATTTTTATCAGTTATCAAACAAAAGGTCTCTCACCTATGACGTTGGTCATCTTGTCGGTGACAGCACGCGATGCTCTGATAAAGGCATTGTCGCTCTCATCGTACTTCATCTTCATCTCAAAGAACCCTGCAGTGAGCATAAGAATAAGGTGAGTCAGAGAGAGAGAGAGAGAGAGATGGGAGAAAACAGAAAATCCTTAAAAATTCATAGTAAGTTCATATACAGAGGTCAGGCATCATTTTTCTTGTCAGAAATATGAATTCCCTCCAGTCAACGTGAGGAATGAAAGGGGTAAAACCGAGGCTCAGCAAAAGGCTGCTGTGCATCACTGTTGAGTGACTGATGAATTATCATAGTAATCCAATACATATCCTGATAAATAAACGTAAACACACACTCACATCTCTTCAGTTCACTCTCACACACAAAACATGTACATGTATTTAGCAGAGCTGGGTTTTGGTGCAAAGCTTTCACAATGGACACCTTCACCCCTGCAACAACAGCTGATGCACTGGGGTTCAAGAGGCAGTGCTGGACTCCATGCCTCTCTGAATTTTGCATTAATAAACAAAAAGCTTTTAAACAGAACATAGGCCATGTGATGCCACGAAGAAGCCACAGCGGGGTGCTGCTGGTGTATGCTGTGCAGGATATTGTTCAGATGGAGGTAATCAGTGAATGAAGCCACATATTGCCAGTTCTGTTGAAGTGACAAGGGTTAATCATGTTGCTGATTTCAATCAGCCAAAAAAGTCATCTGTCTCAGATTTCATCATCACTGGTTCACCTTCCGACCCTAATATTTAAGTTACAGTAAAAAGTGCTGATAATGCAATGCTTGTAATAGAAAATTACATAGCTGCAAATCTGTTGACTTTGACAAATGTCCTAACTGTAACCCAGGCAATTTTTTTCCCTGTCTGAATATTATTAATCATCAATGTTGTTTCCCTAACCAATGTGCATAATATCATCTAAATCAACCCTGTGATGAAAGATTATAAAGTGCCCATTCCACACACTCTCCATCTCTCTCACACTGAGCACTCTCTATTAATTGCCTCTTTCAGCAAATTATTATTAGTGGAGAGCCTCATAAGCTTTATACAAATATATGATGCATGTGTTTTAATACTTGGACAGATTTTACAAGAAGATTAATTTATCTCATCAGAACTGTGTAACCTCCAACAATAGCAGAATCACATGCAGGAGAAAGCCGAATGGTGTGGATTCACCCAATCTTTTGCAAACTGTTAAACAAGGCCTGCCACATAGCTAAACTTTGTCCCCACTCTGCAGTTAAATAGAGGGGTCCCCCATTCAATTTGTGACTCTTTTCCCATGCAAATTTGCATAAGTTAAGTCTTTGGCTTTATGCTACTTTAGGCATATCAGCAATGGAAAATGCTGGTATACTCATTAAAAGCTTTCTGTAAGTAAGCAGCCATGGTTGCAGAGACAGACAGAAAGATACAGAGATGAGTTATTCCTTACTATTGAACACCACATTGTTGTCTTTGAAGTCCTTCCACTGCTGGTACCATTTTGAGTCTTTATGGAGCACCACACCCATAGCTTCCCTGAAGAACACACAAAGTAAAAAGTTTTGAACAGCAGGCCGAGGAACATGGATGTCACTGATGACATGCTGTATTCATGCTGACCATCATATTTCAACACAGAAAGGAAAACATATTACATCAAGAACAATAAACTAAATGTAAAGGAAATACTGGGAAAAGTAACAAGGTTCTGCTCTGACAAAATCTACTCCTATCCTAAATCACAGAACAACCACTCACCAGTTTCTCTTCTGGCAAAAAACATTAGACCACAATTTTCTTATCTCTGCAAGCTGCGATTCCTAATAGTAGTTTGAATTTGCTGGTTCAGAAATACTGTATCAAAAATCTCAAATGGTTACTTCTGTCTCTTGTTACCTGACAAGATGTGAGTGTGGAGTGACTGATTAGACAGTGTGAGGCCATATGTGTGGTATTAGCTATCTCTGAAGCTAAGAAGTGTTCGCCTCTCACTAACAGGGCAAAGCAGTGGGCACTCACGTACTCATTGGCCTCGAAGACCTTGCTGTCATCGCCTCCACCCTTGGAGGAGAACTCACTCCTCTTCCTGAGTCTGGCAGGAGGCCGATAAGGGCCAGTGTGACCCAGGTCGCCAATCTCTTTCTTCACACTCTCCATGCCCTGAAATTAGGTAGCAGACAAGAAAACAATATTCAGGTTTATTATTTTCAGGACACTTGTTTGTCATTATTGTAACTTATTCTTAATAGTGGATTACTTACTTAATATTTAACTACATTCTTACAATGATACCCTTGTTAACACAGTCTTACATTAAAGGGCTGAGGATTATGTTTTCATGCGTATGTATCTTTACTTTATATAGCAGACATAGAAACCAATTAATCAAGTTTAAGTTCTGTTAACAGTAAAATATTTTGTATCTGCACCACTGAGAGTAAAGTGACTCCATACCTGAGATATTGCTCTGAACGCACCAGTCTTCCCCAACATCTCTCCACTCTTAGAGACAGACTCTGCAGAAGTCTTAGCTGTTTTGGCCGCTTCCTCCATTCCCTCCTTGATTTTCTTCCCAATTTCTGTTCGACTGACCTCGTCTATCCCCTGTCCACAAACACAGACATACACACACCTTGTAAGGGGGGATGTGTCAAGTATCAAGTTTACCAGCATCTATCATATGACAATGAAAAAGAAAGACTGCATCTGATTGAGGTACATGTCACTTTTACCTCTTTAACTGTCTCAGAGATGGTTCCCAGCTTCTTCCTGAGAACCTCAGAGGTCTTCACAGTTTCAGACTCTATATTTTTCTAGGAGAGAGACAGAGGAGAGGAGCATTGGCAAAAAAATGCAGACCTAACACTTGTTTTTCAGAAGAACACAAATAAAACTTTGTCTGTAGTGTAGCCATATACTAACATATTTCCTTCGAGCTTGTTTCAAAGCATCTGACTCCTCCAGTTTTTTGGCCTCTTCTCTGAACTTCTGGATGCTTTCTTTCATTTCCTTGTTTTTGTTAAGCTCCTGTTTCAGGTTGTCCAGAAACTCCCCCAAGAACCCTTTTCTGCCACCACCTCTCTCCCCTGACAAATACCTTACTTGCAGAGGCGGTTGCCGAGGCACCTGGGTGATATGAAGCAGAAACCACATTAAGGGCAACTTATCAAAGCATGTTTGGAGCAGTTAAATTAAACTTGGATTTATGTCCTTAGTGTTGCTTATGTGCTCTGACGAGTAGAAGTAAATGTAGAAACCAAATGTAATAACATGCAAAGAATGGGAGCACCTTCGAATGACAAATATGCAGCATAGTAGACTTTATTACAAGAGCTGATGTTGTCTTCTTCAGGTCTAAAAACATCAACTGAATTGTCTATGCTGCATATCTATTACTCTAAAATCCATAAACATAACAAAAATATGTAGGACAGTAGCATAGGTTACGTCAGGTGTTTGTACCTGTGAAGAGCTTGTGAGGAACCCACGTATCCTGAAGACATTGGGTCTGTTGTGATGTAGCAGGTAAGAGGAAGGGAACGCCACCAAGCCTCTTCTCACACATATCTGGAGACAGGTACAAAAACAGCCTCAAACTTCAGTAGACTGGTTATGTAGTGACAATCAGGTCAAGGACAAACTCCTGAACTGTGCATCACACTGATAAATCACTTCTGCAACGAACTTTTATAATTTTCGATCAAATATCGGCATAAACATATGACAGTATCACTTGTGAAGAAGCAGGATTTTAGGTATGAAACATAAAAACCCAGCTCATTACAAGACATAGCTGAGAGTGAATACGTGTAACTACCAAAGTTGAAGTTTTACTAGCAAGTTACGTTTCCCGTCGTTGTCCTGAGCCACAGAGTTCAAACACCGGTTGGGTATCTTAACATTCAAAGCTAACTCAGCTAGCTAACGCCACGTTAGTAGCCTGGTTAGCAAAACTCGTAACATTTACTGTCAGTAATAAAAAGTGACACTTCGAAACTACCGATTAAGTTCCCTTTTATTATTTAGTCGTGTTTTAAGTGTTGATATTCAACACAAAATGTACCAAGCACTCACCTGATAACACTGACACAAGGGGGTCGCCATCTTGAATGTAGTGCCTCTGACCTTCTTCCGGTGGTGACCTTCCATGTCCACGAGGGGAGGGTCTTCAGAGTCACGTGACACATCCAAAGCATAATCTCCCCAGTGCGATTTCCCTCCACATGGCACCATTTAACTACGTTTGCATGTTACGCAATATTATATACATGTAGGCGTACTCACATTTTATGAAAATGTAACAAACCATCCACTATACTGACACATAGTGCAATAACACAAAAAGCCAGCAAAGCACTCCAAATATTGAGGTTTATTTATCAAAACACCTTATAGAACAAAGGCAATGACAGGTGAAGCATGACAAAAAAAAAAAAAATTAAAAATTTGGTCTCTAAAAAAAACAAAACAAGAAAAACAAAACAAAAAAAAGAAAGTAAAATTTAGGCATGAACTAAAACATGAACTTTCATTGTTACAAATTACTAACTAAAATAACATTTGCACTGTTACAAATATCTAACAATCCAAGTGTATATATGCTGAAGGACAATTCAGATGATACAGAGCATTTGGACATGAACTAAATGAGAAGTCAGATGTAACACAGACAAGTAACTTATGCATTCCTATCAATCCTAACATCAATCTCTCTTCCATTCAGCCGGTAGCCGTTCATTGTCCTGCAGGCGCGCTCAGCAGTTTCAGGGTTGTCAAAGCGGACCACACCACAGCCCTTGGACTTGCCGTTCTCCATCTTAATATCAGCATACTGGACCATGCCTGCAGAGGGAAGAATGCCAGTGTTAGAAGTCTTCTGATATGAAATTAACACTCATGGTTAATTTTATATACAAACTATGACTACTCTTACCACATGTATTGAAGGTATCCTTCAGCATCTTCCAGGTGAAGTCAAATGGGAGCTAAAACAAAAGTAATTCAAAACAGATTAAAATCATACACAAGATATTGGTCAAATGAATTAAGTCCCAAATAACCTATAGATACTTACATTTCTGACAAAGATCTGGCATCCCTTCCTGACATTGCCTCCCCCGGTTCCAGGCCCGCCAGCTCCAGCTCCTCCAAAGGAATTACCACCAAATCCTCGATCCAGGTCAGCAGAGCGATCAAACTGGCCGCCAACGCCTCCAGATCCCATCCGGTCCATGCCAGAGCTCATGCGGTCGAGGCCACCTGAGGGGAAGCGGTCAAGTCCTCCAGTGGAGCCCATGCGGTCGAAGCTGCTGGCCATTCTGTCAAGACCGGTGTTGCCCATGCGATCCATATTCATTGGGGAACCAAAGTCCAGGCCAGAACTCATGCGATCCAAACCAGACGGGCCTAAGCGATCAAACCCAGCTGGGCCGAGGCGGTCCATGCTGGAGCTCATACGGTCCAGGCCAGGTCCTAGCCTGTCCATACTGGGCCCCAGCCGGTCCATCCCCGAACCCATCCGGTCAAATCCAGAACCCAGCCTGTCCAGGTCAGACACGCGGTCCATCCTGTCCATGCCCATCCGGTCCATTCCTGCCATGCGGTCCATGCTGCCTCCCAGCCGGTCCATTCCAGAGTTCATGCGGTCCATACCCAGAGAGTTTCCTGTGGGGGAAAAAAAAAAAAAAGTATTAAAGAAAGGTTACGTAGACCATCTCAGCTGAAATAGGCATTACATTGATGAGGCTTATTGGAGTACTTGTCAGAGGAATTTCAAACAAAATCCTGAAAATACGAACCCATTCCTCTTTCAAAGGACTCTCCAAAATTATTGCGAGACATTCCCATTTCATTTCGCCCAAACTCCCTGTCAAAAGCACCACCAATCCCACGGTCCATCTCTGACAATGCAAGAGATGAAACCATTAGAAGTGTCCAGCAAAACGTGAAAGTCATTCACGCTTGCTTTGGAGTGCTTAGCACAGCTCCAAACATCTCCTTACCGTTCATTCTGCCCATCCCTGAAGAACCGAAACGATCCATGTTGTTCATTCCTCCAAAGTTCTCCATTCCTATAACACAAGAGAAGAAAGTCTTAGTACAAGGGGACACCAGAAATGCATGGACAGGCCAGGTATGGAATTCTGATGCCAGAGGAAGGGAGCTTAAAATATAAAACGGTTTTACATTTCCATTTTTTCCCCATGCGCTCTCTCACAGTTAAGATGCTTGTAATGGAGATTACCTTCCTGCAAATGCTTCCCAATTACTTGAGGGATCTAAATGAGATTATGTCATGAATTGTTTTAACGTTTTAAATGTGACAAGTTAGGAGAGGCATCGAGTTTGCTCTCGCATCAAAAGTGGCAGTTGACATAAATACAGTGAAGGGCCACAGCAACTTGCAACATTCTGGTACGTACCTCCTCCCATACGTCCTCCCATGTTGCCAAAGCCCATTCCCTCCATTCCTACAAGTAAGAGAAGTGATGATTAGTCAGATTCCAATGGGGTCTTCTACCCAAGAGTTAAACAAAAACACTGCAGCAAGTTACCTCCAGGGCCCATGTTGCCCATTCCTCCTCCTCCTCCTCCACCACCTCCTCTGTTGAGTTGGGTAGCATCAATGGGCTGGCCACCAGGCCCCAGGCCCAAACCGACACCACTCAGACCACCTGGGAGAAAATGGGTACACTATTTTGGTCTGCAGAAATGGACTTATTCAGTATTACTATTCTTCAGTATCAAGGGGATCTCCAACATGTTCATTCAATATAAAATGTTCTGCACAAATTTGAGGTAACTTGATATACATTTTAATTGGCATATAAGAAAACGGTTATAAGAAAATTATCCACAACAACAAGTGCCATCTGGTCCCCCAGCAAAAGTGGCTGTAAATACAGACCTTGGATTGCACAAAAGTAATCTTAAGTACTTTACATAATATTTACAGTGCATTTATCTTTGCTTCAATATTTTTTATCCTAATGAAGAGTAGACTTACGAGGAAGAGCAGCAGCTCTATCAGGTGGTCCAAAATCTTTGGGCAGGGACTTCTCATCCTGAAAAAACCCCATAAAAACATATTCAGACTATGCTCTCAGATCATAATGTGATCCAATATACAAAGAGGTTTAGACAACATACCAGTTTCACATGCATGACCCTGTTGAACAACAGCTGCCCATTGAACATAGCTGTAAAATCATTAAGGAAAGTGTACCAGACATCTTGAAGCAATGTAGTTATACTGAATAAACATTCTATGGTTACAGTAATAAAGGTATTCCAATCAGCCAACATTTTTCAAAAGGATACAGACAGCTTGGACTGCTTCAATGGGCATATCAAAAGTTACTGTGCCCATGCCTCTGCTTTTCCCATCTTTGTCCTCCAGAATGTCAGCCCTCACCACCATGCCTGCCATGCTGAACACCTCTTTCAGCTTCTTCCAGCCCACTTTGTAGTCAAGCTATATGCACAGGGAACAATTTAAGAAATGGTTACTTGTTTGTGCATACGCAAACTACACAGTTTACACATAAATAATAGTTAAATTACAGTTGCTGATACCATTAGTCATTCTAAGTGCTTAGTTGGCTTACAAGGAAAAAAGGTTTTAACCAATTTATCAAGTAACTTTTTAATCAAGCACAAATACCAATTATTTACTGGGTAGTTTTCAAATAAAACAACAAACAAAAAGAATCAAACAATGACAGAAATGTGGAAGCCTCACATTAGCCACAAAGACAGTGCTGCCAATCCTGCCAGCCTGGAGACCATGGATGATCTCGTTGGGGATGTTGGGGTTGTTCATCAGGCTGGGAGGAATGTTGATGGGGCCATTTGGTCCAGGGCCCATTCGATCCATGTTCATGCGATCCATTCCACCCATTCCCCCCATTCCCCCCATTCCTCCCATCCCGCCATGGCCTCCTGGAGGGCCTCCACCTTGAGCCTTGTTGATTTCTCTCTGAGCAATCACACCATCTGGGTCCTAACAAACCACATGAAAATATGACTTCAGCAAATTCACAACTTTTACATCAGTCTGATGGGAAAAGTTCACAAGTTGTTTTTCTTATTATTCTTGCTGTGACCTACCTCCTTCACTTTTAGGGGTCGTCCATTGAGGTTGTGTTTGTTTACCTTCTCCACTGCTTTTTTCATTAGCTCTTCAGTCCTAAACTCAACAACACTGACAAACATATATCCAGTGAGTACAAAATTTTTATTGACAAGCCCGTCCAAAGATCTGCCCTTAACATTTCAATTTTGTCAATCTGAGGTGCCAACCTAACCAATTGTAAATGATAAATGAATAGAATACTTACGCACAACCCTTTGTTGATTGAAGAAGTCAGAAGAGGCCGCACCAAGAGGAGTAAAGAACAATTCAAATTAGTAAAAGCAATAGTTATAGTAGATGTTTAACTGACACAAAAATTAGGCAAAAATAGAGAATTTCATGCACAATCAAAAGTTCAACACCACACAAGCCTACAGCCTTGGCCACAGCCCTGTTCTTCCAAATAAATTATTAAAGTGTCACATTTTCCCCATCTCTAACACAATGCAGGCATGTCTGGTGACTATACAAAGTATTTTTCCAACATCCAAAGGGCAGAAAATCCACAGTGAGATAGGATTCCCGACTACTAAGACATTGGAGGTGACTTTTCCAGTAAAGCAGTTCTACAGAATGAGTTTTATTTAACAACCATCTAACAGCCTTGTAACAACCTCTTTCATACTAGATCCCTTTAGTTCATAAGGAGCAAATCCAGCAACCAAAAGGGAGACTGTCAGCTACTGCAATACCACAGGATTGGCTGCGAAGAAAGCTGAAGACCTGTTATAAGAGCATCAACCCTCCGGATGGCCTCAAGACAGTGCCACAGACGACACCAAATAAAACACGCCTCTGGCATGTCACCATCTCACACACACTCCACCAGGCTTCTGAATCTGAACAATTCCCAACAATGAAAATAAATAAACCAAAGCTGACAAACACAGGTTTGTCTAGGATTATTCATATTTTTTATTTGTATGTATTTGCACTTACCCTCGATTTGCCTTCTGCGTCCATTAAGTGTTCCACGTACGTTACCTCACCCACTACAAATCAGATTCCAGAGACGACACACACCAAGGGGAGAGAAGCCGAGAGAACAATGGGGGTTTAGAGCAGAAACACAAGTAGGGCGGCCGGTGACAGTGAGCTCGGACTGCCAGTCCGGTGTCTTCCCCCAGCACCGCAGCAGCACAATATGGTACAGGTCTACAAAAAGCAAGCTTGGGTCTTTTATTTATTTATTTTTTAGAAAGAATAAAGACTTCTTAGCCTGTCCTTGTTGGAATTCTCCCGAAGCACCAAAAGCAATAGACTGAGGACAACAACTATTGAAATGGCCATCAGCCTTCCTATTTGGATATAATGCCGCACACCACCTTCTATATGAAGAGAATTAACCAAAGAATTTCAAGTCATCAAAACCCATTCAATGCCTCAGTCCATTTCATTGCAAACCTGCGCATTCTTTGTCAGATGTCGCCATTTTAAACCTCAGGCTAATGCATCACTACATTTGCCCATCAGCTGAGCCTAAGAGGAAACCTACAGCTAGAAAACTAACCATAATGTTAATGATGACAAGCTCTTAGGGGACAGAAACTTCTCTAGACCTGTTCCTGGAACGCACAATATCAGAATTTTGATTCAGCGTCGACCACAGCCACGCTTTCGTTTCAGATCACGTTTCTGATCAACGAATGGGCATCCGTGACCAAACCTCTAGAGACAAGGACAGTGCATAAGAAGCTGCTTCATTTTGTAGACCTGTACCCCAAAGAAATCCCCAACGCATAGCTGTGTTTGGCACAACATGGAGATCTGCTGAGAAAACATTTGCTTGTCAAGGTCAAACCTAAAAAAGAAAATGCAATTTAACTCCACAGTCAGTTTTGAAAAAACAAACACCAGGCACTCCTTCTGAAAGAGGATTGTACCCATCTTGACACATGCTTTTACTTAAAATGCCAATGTAGTGCAATACTTATGATTCATCTGAAACTTTCCAAAACCGATCACTAAACAACTACTTTCACATGAATAACAGCACATTAAAATCCAGTGTACTTTTAAGAGAAAACTTTAAACTAATACCTGCTGAAATTCAAAGTTGCTGAAATACAAATGATTTCATTGGACATGTCTCCAGAATTTTGACCAAATTATAAATCATGAGAGCCCAGGTTTTACTGTTTGTTACATGTTGTAACAGAGAAACGTGTTCCTTGCTCCTGGGCAAAATAATTACACTACAGCAAAGTACTGTATATTCTTTCATACATTTCTTGGGGGAAAGCCTCTCATTGTGCCCCTTATGATCCCACGCCACTGGACTTTCACATTAGTTCACCAGCTTTGCACATGTACAAGTACAACCTTCACGTCGCAAAAAAACCCACAAAGGGTTGTAGTAGTCTCAAGGGAGAGTAAGTGTTCAGTCTACCATCCAGGTTCGCAGCACTTGTGCGAGTCTGCAGCAACTCTTTTGTTGGCGGACAAATAAGGGGGACCTCATCCAAAACCCTTTTCCAATAACTCCCACGAAATCTCAAGCAACATTGTACAACTTAAGTACCTGAACAAATTCCCAAAAGCCCTTCAAAGCTGCTGTGGTCAAACAAAGTGACCATGGATCTTTTTGTTATGTCCAAAGCTGACTGAGTCGGACCCATGTCAAGACACCTTACCTTTTTCTTTCATCAGGTCTTTGAGGGCTTGCCATTTCACATCATAGGGGATGTTGCTGACAAAGACACGGTATCTTTTGTTCGCATTTCCATAGGGTTCGTAGCGCCCGCCCCCACCTCTCTTCTGGGGTCTCTCCTTCCTGCTTGAATTGGACTCATGCTTGGCTTTCCCATTCAATTCTCTGTATAAAGAGATCAATTAATGCATTGGATAAATGTAAGGAACAAAAACACATTTCATGTTAGCATGTCAACTTTCTTTTAGAACCCAGTAAAAGCACAATTGGATTCTGAGAAGTGAATTCCTAAAAGTCTTAATAAAAAAGGAAAAAAAGGTGGCAGTGGACACACATCTGCTAGTTCAGGTTACGACCAATGAAATCACACTAAAACATAATACCATTAAGGTATCTTTGCTACTGTATAGGAGCCCAAAATGGGGTCACTGTTGTTACTCAATCCAATAGTAAGAGTTTCCTTTGTTCTGTTAGTGCTAGCAGCCTCTTCTACTAGATAGATTGTTTAAGTGATACAAACTGCAGTTATTTATATTTTTAAGAACAGGTTTTATTTAAAAACCAGTACAATTGTTTGACTTGCAATAATAGCCTTCAACGCAAGGTTGCAATCGGGATGATTGAACTGAAGTCGCATGGCAAGGCCGCTCTAAAGGCGCACTAGGCCTTTATTACGTTAGCAATCAATCGTTTCATAATTTGCATGCATACAACCAAACAGTGAACATATTGGGTCGGTAATAGGCATTAAGTGGCTAAGTAAGCGGACAGCTAACGTTAGGCTACTTAAAATTACGTTACGTAAAATGGGCCGATTCTCCTTGTAAAAAGACGGGCACCAAACACCGTCGCCTAAACGCATAAAACGACGAAATTTAAACACATTGTGGTCGTTAATATAGGATTACCTCGAGTGGATACAATTATTTGATCTTTTTCATTAAATATTGGTCAAAGTACGACATTCCCGTGTATCAGAATCATTAATTAGCAAGTAGGAGCCAACAAAGGACCCTGGATGAATGGACTTACCCCTGCTGCTGCGGCTGCTGCGGCGGCTGCGTCTGCTGCGGCGGCGGCTGCTGCTGCTGCTGCTGCGGGCCTGGTTTCTCGGTAGTGTTTTCGGCCTGCTCGTTAGACATCTTCTTACGCAGTTTAGTGTCTTGCAAAAAATGAAAATGGTATATTCTTGAAATTAATTAAGTTGCGAGTAAGTGACCTTAATAGTAGATACAACAGCTAGATGAATGACTGCGCCGACCACTACTGCGACACCAACTAGGGAAAATGGCGGAGTGTGCAGTCCCGGCCAAACTAACGGATGCTGGGAATTTTAAAAAGGTAGTGACACAATGGTCTACATCCGGTGTCTTCTTCAAAAGTAAAGCTCATCGTGGCCATAGACTGTATAAAAAAAGATCGTGGCCCATAAAGGGATTTTCAGAATAAGAGTGCATCGAATCCAGACAAACATATTAAAACATCAAAACTTAAATGTAAAATGTATGTTTTGTGAGTGTCTGCTTTCGTGTTTTTAGAAAAAAACGAAATATGTGTATTTAGTTTATTTAGTTATTTATCTATCTACTCTTTAAAAGCTCACCTGTTTCCATATGATGATAACTGAGTACTTATACAGATGTAATGGCTCACAAAACCAGGCCAGCAAGTTGCCAGCAGGTTTTTAGTTTTCATGCCCTTCATTATGGTATACTCAGCTGTATGTAGAAATCGGAGTGCTTACACATCTTGGATTTACACTGGTAGGCCATGGAGCTGTACCTTCAATAGTTTTTCTTCACATTGAAGAAATAACTTGTTTAACTGTTTTATGTCATACAGCCATAAATGTATCAGAATCCCTCTGTGTCTCACCTCTCTTTGTGACTTTCTTTCATTTTTAACATAATATATTTAATATATCATACACTACTGTTCGTAGTATGACATTACTATACTATACTATACTATACACAAGAATGAGCAAACTCTACATTCTGAGGAACTACGTCTTCCAATGTATGCAGCAAGATGCTGGAGATCTTCAACCAGTCTATAGGAGCGAGTGTCACTGTATTGTGGTCTGCTGGGAGAACAGCATCTGTTTCAGAGATGCCAGCAGGAGCAATAACTTTATTTTCATTTTCAACCCTGCTGGTGTTTAGAGTTTCATGTTCAGTTGCACTGGTAAACTATGTATTTATTATTATTTTTAAATATAAATTTCTCTTTGAAATAAATAATTTCTGCAGTGCACCGCCAGACCTCACGGGGGCGACACAAAGACGACAGCGCGACCGGAAATAATGGCGGTTCAGATGGCCAGCTAGTGTTCACCTAGCCTTAACAATAGCTTGTGAATATTCTTTATTAACTACATCTCTTGTTTTCATTTATAGTATAAACGTTCTCGGTAATGCTACAAAATAAATATTATAAAGTCGTTAAGTGGCTGTTTGCGGCTCTGTGCTAAATCAGCGTAGATTAGAAATGATAACGTTAGCGTTAGCCTTTAGCTAGAAGCGTATTCTTTGGATAGTACCGCATAACTGAATGAGCGCCTGTGAATGAACAAACAGCATTTACAATTTGCAAGGTGCGAGAAGCGTTAATTAAAAACATATTAAGCCATGGCTACTGGTGCTGATGTTAGGGATATTCTGGAGTTGACCGGAGGAGATAATGACGGCCCCATCAGCAAGAAAGACCTCATTAACTCAGACAAGGTGAGTAATAATATGAAAAGATATCCACAGTGATACCGGTCCCAGTATTCACAAGTTTCCCCAATGATCTTACTCTTAAAACTGCATTAGCTGTGGAGTTCGTAACGTTGACTAGGTGGATCAAAGTTATCTCAGGACGTGAAGGGACTGTAAACATCTCTGAACAACTACTAACCTTAAACCACAGTTTACACCTCAAACATGTAATAACTAATTGACTTGTCTTTTCTAAAATTTTGATCCAGTATTTGAAGAGTTACACATACTGTGTTAGTCAAACCCAAAATCATGCCATTTCTACAGCAAGAAATTGAGACGATTATTTTAGAATATTTGTTATTTTGTGGTTGACAGTATTACCAAAATATTTCTTTGAAATAATCAGTTTTTCCATCTTGTCTCAGAAAAAAACCAAAAAGACGACTGAAACGCTGACCTTCAAGAGACCAGAGGGAATGCACCGAGAGGTCTATGCTCTGCTCTACTCAGATAAGAAGTATGGTCTCCTGTTTTGAGATTATGAGTTTGTCTTCAATTGATGTACTGAGTTACCCTTTAGGTTTGGATTCAATCATCTGTGAAATCACTGCTTTATTCTTAAAGATTCTAAAAATTCTTAAAAAAACTGGTTCAATGTTTTTCATTCACACTTGTAATTATTTTCTAGTGTCTAAATCAAAAGCTATGACCAAAGACAGACAAGTGATTGGCATGTTCAGTGAAGCATTGGAGGGGTTCACGTTTAAGTCTCACTGAAAGGGAGAGCTTGTCATTTGTCTGTTTAGAATGTTCTATAACAAAGACTTGTTTTTCCTGTTAATTTCCAGAGATGCACCCCCTCTGCTGCCTAGTGATACTACTCAAGGCTACAGGACAGTGAAAGCCAAACTGGGTTGTAAAAAGGTGCGGCCCTGGAAGTGGATGCCCTTCACTAATCCTGCTCGCAGGGATGGGGCCATATTCCACCACTGGAGACGTGTAGCAGAGGAGGGCAAGGACTACCCCTTTGCTCGCTTCAACAAGGTAGGGATGACTATAGTCTCCTTTTTAGTCTAATCACTCACGCAATACAAGTATAAACAATTGATGGATTTTTTCAGCTACCCATCCTCTGTCATCTCCTCTATTTTCAGGCATGCTCACTCATTTATTCTTTTCAGTTTCTCAACCCGGTTGCGTGTATTTTCTCTGTTCTTCTTCTCTGTCTCCTTTCATAGACAGTGCAGGTACCAGTGTACTCAGAGCAGGAGTATCAGATGCATCTGCATGACGATGGCTGGACTAAAGCGGAGACAGACCATCTGTTTGATCTGTGCAAGCGCTTTGACCTGCGCTTCATAGTTGTCCATGACCGTTACGACCATCAGCAATACAGAGTAATCAGTTACTAACCTCCAGTACCCACTGAGGATATATTGCAAAAATCATAATCCTGAAAGTTAAACATATATTTGTCGTAACATTTTTCCATGTATGGTTTTCAGAAACGTTCTGTGGAGGATCTGAAAGAACGGTACTACAGTATTTGTGGTAAGCTGACAAAGGTCCGCGCACCCTCAGGGACAGAGCCCAAGATCTACATCTTTGATGCTGGCCATGAAAGGCGTCGCAAAGAGCAACTGGAGAAGCTCTTCAATCGCACACCTGAACAAGTAAGTAATTTTTTCATTTGATTAGGATTCTTAATACAGTTTTTAAATTCTCATAACATAAAAATTGACCAGTCAAGATGAGAAGGAACATGTCAAGCACAAGCCAATTAAAAACCACAGTAAGATGTTCACCAGCCTTTTAGACATTAGATTGCACTTCTCTCCTTTTTCCAACAGGTGGCAGAAGAGGAATATCTTATTCAGGAACTAAGGAAGATTGAGACTAGGAAGAAAGAGCGTGAGAAGAAGGCCCAGGATCTGCAGAAACTCATTAAAGCAGCTGACACAACCACAGAGTTGAGGCGAGCTGAGAAGAGGGTTTCCAAGAAGAAGCTTCCACAAAAAAGAGAAACAGAAAAACCGGTACGACATTCACCCATACAAAAGGAGCACAAGCATTTGTGAAATATTTACCAACTTATTAAAGCACCATTAAAAGGAAAAAAATTAAAATTAATCAGATGGCACAGCTGTGAAGCACATGGTAGTGGTTATTCAGTGCAGTGGTACACTGAAATAATTAAGATTAAGCTCAGTCTCAATATTTTGTGTCTCAGAGTAACTATGAGCTCTTTGTCTCAGTTTGTGAATCACTGTAAAGGCCCAATTTATTTCATAAAAATTGCTTCTCATCTTTCATCAGTTATTACTTTTTTCTTTAGGCTGTTCCAGAGACTGCAGGGATCAAGTTCCCTGACTTCAAATCAGCAGGAGTCACGCTGCGCAGTCAGAGGGTGAGTATAGCTAGATCCTACTGAGGTATTAAAATTACAAAAAGAGTATTCTGAAACATATATTCAACTTAAAACTTCACTATGTTGGTTCTCAAATACTAGTGAAGAAAGTAGATTACTAATCTGAAAAAAAGAACCTGAAACTACAATGGTCAAGATAATCCCATAGATCTATATCAAGAAATTGTATTGTATTGTCTGTACTGTGCTGTGGAATTGATGTAAAAACATTAAAACGGCTGGAACTTTTTTTTTTTTTTTTAGAAGATCAGCTGAGTTTTGTTTGAACAACTACTAATGTCAAAAGAATTTTAGTGAAGCTTGAACCTGCAGTTGATGTATGTGAGAAACCAGAGAGTCTGACTTGAGCTTGCCATCTCTCATTAGCACTGTGATGATTAATTTTGGTAGTGACTAGCTAATATCTGTAAGATCTAGCAAGGGAGCTCTTATTCATCTTCAAGACTGATGAGGAGCTGCAGCTCTCTATGGAAAATGCATTAGTGTGGCTAAAGAAGTGGAGTGCCCCTCTAGCTAATCAGTCAGACAGAGTTCAGTGGATAAAGACATTTTGATCTGGCCTGCTGAAGTGCATTTCATACGAATTAAAAGCCCCGAGGTGGAGCTGTTTATCCTAATATCCCCAGCACCTTAAATCACACCCTTGTGTGTGTTGCCGTGTGTGTCTCTCTGTGTGTGATTCAGATGAAACTGCCAAGCTCAGTAGGCCAGAAGAAGATCAAGGCCATTGAACAGATCCTCATAGAGCAAGGAGTGGGTGAGTGTGAATAAACATTTCGAAGTTTTGTGTTTAAACTCTGCAACAGATTAACAGTATAATGATCCTAAATAATGCATTTAGTTTCAGCACAGCAGGGAAATATGTATGTATTTCTTAATTTCGAATAACGTTTTTGAATTGTGTACAAATAGCACAGTGTGTTAACAGCAGTAAGTTTACACCTAAGAGCTTCTCATTCACCATCTCCACCTGGACACAGTAGTTGAATGCAGAATCTGAAAGAATGTGTCGTCATGTTGTCAGTAATCTCGTAAAGATGTGGCTGTCATTTGCATTCATCATACCAAGGATACTTCCTGCTATATATCTGCTGGGATGAACTGACCTACAAAGGCTTTGCCAAGCAAGTATAGTTTTTAATCAGCTTTACCTTTGTGTCTGTTTGTGCATCCAGATCTTAACCCCATGCCCACAGAAGAGATTGTACAGATGTTCAATGAGCTGCGTAGTGACCTGGTGCTGCTGTATGAGCTGAAGCAGGCCCACAGCAATTGTGAATATGAGCAACAGATGCTGCGTCACCGCTATGAGGCTCTACTGAAGGCTGGCAGCGGAGGTGGGTGTGGAACTACAGGGACAGGACTAGCTATCGCAGCACCAGGTGGGGAACTCAATGCCACCAACAGCACTTTAGCATCCACCCCAGGGGGTGAAATTCAGTCCTGGCCCAGTGTAGACGACATCAAGGTGGAAGCCAAGGAGCAGATCATCGACGTTGTAGGAGCACCGCTTACCCCCAACTCAGTAAGTCTATATTGCTTAGACCCAAACTCTTCCAAACATCACTAACAGTTGGGTGAGGATATCTACCTTATGCAAATGTTTAATCAATTCTAGTTCATGATTCACATGTATTTCACAATTAATGTGGGTTTTAAAACGGTTTTATTAATACAGAAGCCATAACAGGACGATCTAACCTTGAAATCCCCAGTCATGGCATCAGATTTTAACTGAAAAAACAAGGCTCCGCATAACTAATTGAGCAACCCAAAATGCTGATAGAGGCAATCCAAGACAGTGTGTCCATGTCTAAAAAACTATAGTATAACACTAGATTACCTTGCCATGAATGATAACTTTTACTGAGAGATGCAAGAAGCCAGTTGATCACTTGCATCACTGCAGGTAAGCTGTGTATTGCCAGTACTACGCAACTACTTTAGTTTAGAGGCTGATAATTTACACCAAATCTGAGCTTTGAATGCAGATGAGGGAGAAAAATAAAAACATATTTTGGGGATTTGAAAATGAAAAGGTCCCTCGTGCAACTTCAGTCTGTAGCCGATAGGAGATCTTTTCTCCCTATCACCCACCTTATCATTGAGCAGTGTTAACTGGGAGAACCCAGTATAGGATCCAGTCCTCCTTGTTGCCCTAGACTCTTTGTGACTGGTTTCCTGTATGTATCTGAATAGGTGGTGTGGACCTCTATTCACAGTACATCTTCATATTAAAGATTTGTGCTGGAAGATAAAAACAAGTAGTTGGTTACTCCAGTTGTATTGGTTGAAGACACCTGACAGTGAGGAATGCAGAACAAGGAGAAAATTCCTGTTAAAATACACACTTATGTGATTTTGTGCATCACATTACAGCGCAAGCGGAGAGAATCGGCATCCAGTTCGTCTTCAGTAAAAAAGGTGAAGAAGCCTTGATGAAGATGAAAGCGCCAGCTGGTACATGGTGGAGTTACTCTGGTCACAGTGGAGATGCACAAGTTTTATGGTGGGACAAAAGAGAGACGGGGGAGCAGGACATCATATCGCTGTTCACATAAAAGGCACCACTGACTACACACACACACACACACACACACACACACACACACACACTCACTACTTTTCACCTTCTAACCAGACCTCTCCAACCCCTCCCCATTTGGCTCTCCCAGCATCTTTGTGACAAAGGCAACAACTGAGTGACATTTCATTCCATTACTGCTTGTCTTCCTGCCTCCACCATTGCTCGGCTTTAGATGAGGAAAGATCAACTGTAAATTGCCGGGCTGAGCTAATCGGGACATGGGGAAGAAGGTGGGAATGACTGGATAATTGAAATGAATTGGAATGAAGGAAGAGACTCTGTGAGTGGGAGGACCTCCAGCCGCAATGCTCATTTGACCCATCTGAGGGTTTTTTGTAGCCTAATCATGCCATAGTGTTTACTGGAAATGTGTTTTTGTTTTAGCCTGTAGTACCGGCTCCCTCTCGACCTAGGAAAGAGATGCCACTTCCATCTGCTGCCCGTGTTTTATGTTGGACTCACAGGACTGATTTGTGTTGTTTGTCCTCAGGTGACCTTGAAGATGCTTTAGTCAATGATTCAATAAACCTCATTGTATTTTTTTCTTACCCTGTTCCATGCATGTTTGTGCTGTGGTTATCCCCTTTATATTTCAAGCTCTTTCTCAGATGAGATCTTAACTTGGAGGTAATTAGTGTTGAATACACATTTGCCAAGGAAATTGTAGGATCATGACATTCTTACCTTACCTGTCATTTAAGTTAAGTGACAACTAATGACTTCATTAATATGATAATTAAGCAGTGATCATTCTTCGGTTGGCACAGCCACTGAAACTTCATTAGGTCTCCTCCCCATAATATTGCTAATTGCGTGTCAATTATGTCGTTTAGCCTACTTAGTGATTAATTTCTATGCAAATTTTGAATATGATTGCCCAGAAGAGGGGATCACTGTTATCTGGGCATAATGTGCGTATTAATATATCTACCTCTAGATACATGCATTTCAAAATTATATAATCTTCAAATCCTGCAATCTGCATACAAACACATAATTTAGTCAAACATTTGTTGGATCTTCTTATTTGTTCTATTTTATACATGTTCTTTGCATATAATTTTGTTGATTTGACTGTTAGTTATTGCAAAAGAAACAATTCTCAACAGCTAGAAAATAGCAAGTCTTTACCGAACTATCTCACCTTTTTTTTTTTAAGTCTTGGTCCTCTAACAAATTCAGAGGGTTCCTTACTTAACTGTCATTGGTGAAAACACTCAACAACGTAGCCACTGAAAGTTGCACCATCACATCACCGCAATCAAAACATCTTCATTATGAGCTCTAATCAGCGCTGCTAAAGTTGCAGGAGTAAACCCATCCACACACTGTAGACTGTTTGATTGAGAGAGAGAGAGAAAGAAAAGGAGTGAGAGAAGGCAAGTAAACATGGGTAAAATGGATTCTCTGTGTCTATATTTCATGTTGAAAATTGGCTCATAAATCCAGTGGTTTGATCTATGGAACCCGTCGTTGCTTGAAAAAACCTCCGTAAATGTGTAATTTCTCCCTTGACAGAACACAGCCGAAAGGCTATCTTTCTTTTGCTTCCTCCTCCCCTCTCTCCTCCCCTTTTTCTCTGTCTCTCATTCTTGCTCCCTCTCCACCAGCCTGGTGTTGGATTAATGCTTTGCTCTCTTCCCCTCTCTCCTTTCATGCTCCTCTGATATCTTCTTTTCATCACTGCTCATCCATTTATCAAAACTGGGGCTCCGCTCTCCCTCTCTATCTCTCAATATCTAAGCCAGTCTTAAGTTATATGGCAGGTATCTTGTAAGATGGGGCTTCAAGAAGGTGGAGGTTATTAATAAATAATAGTCCAAATTGAAAAGAGGTCGGCAAGGATGCATCACCAGCCATGTGTGAATGATAAAGACCCCCAGCAGCCACCATCTAGGTCCGTCTGCCATGAGCTCCATCCGGGCTACAGTGTACGTTCTGCAACACTGATGTGAAAAGCATGAAGCAGAACACCAGCGTCTTATAGTGTCTTATAATGTGGTTGTGATGGCATTGAGATGGGATCTCTTTATCAAGGCCAGGCTGAGGCTTTAATCACGGCCTAAGAGGTGCACTGGCTGTTTATCATAATTGAACTGTATCCAGGCTAATCGCTGGCATACGTCACTGTCGAGGGGTCGCCCGGCCGCACCGGCAGGCGAAGCTGGTGTTGGTGATTGAACACACAGTTAAGAGAAAAGATGTGTACTGAGGGACATAAGGCAGGAAGAGGCAGGTAATAGCAGATGTGATAGAACCCTCTTCAAATACATCACACCTTGAGGTAATCGCTGATGTGACAATGATTAGATTGTGGACGCCTCCTTTTTGTGGCAGAGTGCTTTATACCCATCATGTCACATACAATCACTGATTACTACAAGGAAAAGAGGCAGGGATGGTGCAATAGGAGTGTAAGGACAGGGTTTGGATAATTTCCTTCCTGGGCTCAGGAGTGAGTGCTTTCTATATGGGCCATAACAAATGTCCAAAACAGAGTTTCACCTCCATGTCCCTCTCTCATCTCCATGTCTCTCACTTTGACTTTCACCCCCTCCAGTATTTAGGTCACCTTGAGGGAGAAAACTTTTAATCATTGTTCCACATCAAATTCACCTGTGCCCTCTGGGACACTGAGCTGCAACAAAAAGGAAGGGAGTCAAAACCGCAGGTTGGAAAATCACAAATGCCCACAGGCCTGGACAGTGGAAGTCATTTCCACTGGATTTTTTGCTGGTGGGGGAAGGCCTGCTACAACACAAACCCAATCACTAGTGCTAAGCAGTGCTTACAGCTAGGCATTAACCCCACTGTCCACTCTTCACATTAAAGCCCCGGGGAGGCAGAAGAGAGTGGAGTGGAGTAGAGCAGAGAGAGTAGGACTAAATCTAGACTTCCTATTCCCAAGGACTGTGCTGCTCTCGGGAACATCTCGGGTCAGGTGTTGTTGTCTTTCAAGGTGTCCTATACCTTGAAATGAAGGAACATGGAAGGGATGGAATAGAAGAAAGTCATTTCAGGAGGAGAACTTTCCTTATGTATTCATATACACAGAGTGTGCAAAAGACAATTTCCAACAAAACAGCCTCACGTGAACGATTTTTTCTATTTTTTTCCCCCCATATTTTATTCAATCTATTAAGACAGAGCAAATATGGTAGCAAACTAAATGTACCTGTATTGACATATGAGACAAGATGCTTAACAAACACATTGTTTAAAAATATATTTTTGTCTGAGTTGTTAAATGGCGATATCTGTCTGTCTGTCTGTCTGTCTGTCTGTCTGTCTGTCTGTCTGTCTGTCTGTCTGTCTGTCTGTAGGTCAGTCCAACACTTGGGTGCAGATTGAAATATGTCATCCACTGTTGGACGGATTAGAAACATTCATGGTCTCCAGAAGATGATAAGAAATCACAAAATATCTTATTCGGACTCATTTAAAAACAAAACTATCAAAACTCAATGAAAGCAAAGAAAGATGTGGTGGTGAGGTGATGGGCAACTGGAAGATGATGGAACAGCACTGACCTTATAATTGTACAGTATACAGCACTTGTGTATGAGTTGACTGGACTCAATTTTATCTTCAGCTTGTACCTGTATTCTCAAATTTGGTTTCGGTGTACATGATGAACAAAGGGAGGCACATCGGGGTGAGCAGAGTGCGGCCTGTTTAGGTCAGAGCAGTGATTGCATGTTGACAAGAGCAGGTTGGACAGATCAGCCTCACTCTGTTCTGCCACCAGCCCTCAGAAACAAACCGGTTTGATTTGATTTGTCAATGAGAGATAGAGACGCCTGTGGACAATATGTGACAGAGTTACCTCGCCAAAGCAGTACAGCGAATGTCTTTCTCCCTCTCTTTACCTGCCCAAGCACAATTCTAACAAAGAGGGAAAAATCCAATTTACCATGCGGATCCACAGCTGTCACGGCTGGGGAATTAAACATTACCCATAACTCACTGGGGGTGCTGAGCAGGTCAGCGGATGGCAGGGATGGTAACATCACTCTGGGGTGCAATAACAAAGGATTTTAACCTCTGACTCCTTCACTTGGGCTGCTGGCAGATCATCCTCCAAACCAACAGCAGCTTTCACCAAGCTAGTTAACAATCTCCGGTTGAGTTGATCACTCAACTTACCAGCACACACCTTACTACTCAATTTTATTGCTCAATTTTATCCCTAACATAAACAGGAAGACATGGGGAAATGTCAGCATAAATGCAATGTTTTCCACCCTGCTGGGTCCTGGAGCAGTTCCTGCACTGCTCCATAGGGGGTTGCTGGGATCCTGTAGCTGCTAGCGTCCCGGTGTCATCACCCACACAGGCTGACTGCTTGCCTGGCTGGCCCGCCACCACCAGAGCCTCAATTACCTGACTGACGTTTCATTAGCGCCTGCAGCTGATCCCGCGGCTGAGAGGCAGTGGGGCGCAGAGGAGCATAGAGCGAGCGAGAGAAGGGGGGAAGAGAAGGAGGCTTCAACGCATTACATTCTCATGTGCTGTCAGTGTCACAGCTCTGAGTACAGCCACACAGCCACTCATTACATTGCAGTCATTTAGTACATGCTCTTATTGAGCTGGACTGTATATACTAAAATAGAGGTGGTTGGGTTTTATCTGGTGACAACAGTTCTGAGCTGAAACTCACATATCTGACATGGATTGTTGGAGCAACTGAGAAGTGTGAGAGGTTGTAGGTGTACGTGTGTGGGCACTTTGATATGAGTTAGCAGCTAGAGGGTCTGTGGGACAAATCAATCAGGTGCAGTGTACTGATCAGAGGTTTCTCTCTCTTCTTGTGTTTCTCTGTGTGTAATCTTAAATCTGTGGAGCCATATATGTGTGGTTGCATGTCTTGTATACATACCTGGGTTTGTGTGTGGTGTGTGTGGCCTCTCCATCCGTGGGGTTAGTGCAGGCCATGTCAGAGATGATCCAGGGCGGAGCTGAGGGGGCTTAGTGAGGGCCCCGGCCTGAGCCTCTCCACAGAGCCCACGCTTGGCTGGCCTCTCCTTCCCATTTGTCATCCTGGGCCAGTAAGACCCCCGGAGAGATTAGGGCAGAGCAGAGAGACTGGAGGAGTAGCAGGAATAAGAGGATCAGTTAAGCTATAAACACAGACAAGTTTGTGTCTCTCACCCACTCTGGCGCAGTGACAGTTTGTAATGGCTGTCAAAAGTTCGTTCTGTGTTGTACATCTTCCTTTAAAGGACACTGCACTGCCTGTGTGTGCCACACCTCATGTGTCGGCAAACACAGCAGGTATAGGAGCTTCTTTCAGTACGGTCAAATGCAGCGTGTTGACTCGAGTTGGACATTAAAGAGAAGAGTTAGCTGCATTGACCCGCATTGACCCAAGCTAATGAACCATGACCCAATGCAGAGCAAAAAATGCAAAGGTTTGCCTATAATTAGAATTATGTGGCACAAAGACCATTAGTCAAATCCTGAGAGCTCCTTCATTTCCATATTTTTGAATATTCTACTTAATTATGCAAAGGGAATAGTGAGGTAGATGAGAAGTTTTAAGAA